AGACGCCTGCCAGTCGACCATCTTTGATCCAATTGCGAAATAAATCGTCATGGACATGTATCCTAACATGTATAATCTTTGTACCAAGTTTGAATGAAAACTGACAAAGCATGTCCAAAATACAACATTTTCAAAAAACAAGATGGCTACCAGTTGGCTATTTTGAATCAAATCGCTAAACCACTGCATGTGCATATATCCCACATAAAGTACTAGGCACATGCAAAGAATGACTGAAATCGGTCCAAGGAATTCTGAGATATGACTCCGGACAGACGCACGGACAGACGGAGACCGAATTATAAGTCCCCATTTTCGGACTTTGTCTTCAGACATTCACTAAAAGTTACTAAGCATGATACTAAACGGATACATCTTCTGAAAGTTTAAATATAGCCAAATAAAGTATTGCATATGCCATACCAATGGTTATATAAAGAATTTCCCACAGTCAATTAATCCTATATTAGTGTGTTTTTATCTGTAGTATTTTAACACGTTTAATCACAGGAATTTCACAGGACATTTGTAGGACTGTAGGTGAGATGGTCGAGTCTTGTTTTTTCTTTATCTGCTTTTGTTTTCTATCTACATCCAAACAATTACAGCCATGCTATTAACAATGGAATATATGTAGAATTGTGCAAAAAAATAAAATTAACGATTTTCATCAAACAAACTGCACAGCTGCCATTTGACCATATTAGATAGGCTCATGACAAAAGCAATGCACAACTTTGTGCAACAATTACCTCTGTACCAAGCAGCTTTGCCTTACAAAATGGCCACTAGTCGGCCAATTTTGAAAAATCCTGTAAAATAATATATGTGCCTCAATAAGCCGCTGACAATATTGTACACACATAAAATGCAGGATTTTTGAAATAGAAAATGAAGCATATATACATGCATATGTAATTAGTGTCACAAAACTTTTGGAAAATTACATCGATTTATGAGTACCCCAAATTCTCACCACTAAAATTGCGAGAATCCAAATTCTGCATCAATGGTAAGAATCTAAATTCTCAAATGACCAAATATTAAATTTCCCGCTTTAACCTGCCTTGACATTTAAGTGGGTGATCTTCGTGTGAGACCAACTTACATTTCCTATTGCCTATTCTAAATTAATTGTTATGATTGGCTGAAGCAAATTACAACTGTATGTCTGATACATGTAGTAGACACTAGTGAATCACTTCACCTAGGTCAAAAGGTTTGTGTATAACATAGGCAATGA